ATAAACACTTAGGACATGTCTGTGAGGTAGAAAAAAATTTCCTTTTTTAATGCTTGTGTAAACAAGGCACCAAGATTAAGTGAATTGCCCAAGGATACGAGTTAGTAGCAAAACTGAGATTGCATGTCAGAAGTAACTGGCTCGAGCCTCCTTTCTCAAACCAGCTACAGCTGAGTTAAAACAGTGAGTGGGCACTCCCTGTACGGACACTTACTCAGCAGAGGCCAAACCAGAGCTCCTTCCTATCAACAGCATCACCTACTCTAAACTCCACCATGTTGCTTTCAGCTGCTATCCTCTCACATATAATCTATCTGAATTAAGGTAATCTTACATATACACAGAGTCTCACTTCTGCATTTAATAATTATATTAGAGCTTAAGCGGTCTACATGAGGATTTTCAGTATTTTTATGTCACGACAATCAACCCACTACAGGCTTCTTGACAACACACTGAATTACAACACAATCAGCACACCTACTGCTTGAAGTTTCTCTGACGACACTCTTGAAGCTGAACCTGCACTAGTACCAATCAGAATTGTTTACTATGTCCTTCTAGAATAAAACACAGAATTTCCTCAATGCATATAAGGTGATCTGCTACATATCCCTGTTATATACCCATACTGCCGACACAAAGCTCCTTAGGTGCTTTCTGACAAGGAAGACAGAAGCAAAAGCTATCATTTTCTTTGCAACATAACCTAATGAGGAATAGTCCTTAACTCCTATGTGGAGTTACAGAAGCCAGTAGAAATAAAAGTGGACTGTGAAGTACTTAGCAAGAGAAAAAAAAATAATCACCTTATGCCCCTCAGACAACACATACATGTAAAAGACAACAAAGAAGGCCAAAGGTTTACCTCTTCCTCTCTCCAACTTATTTCTTTTCTTAGATCTTTAGTAATGCTAAATTTTGCCATTCTTTTCAACGAAGAGCTTCCTGGTGATCCCACACACGTGTGCTCTCATGCACCTAATTAAATGAAAAGAGGTATGGAACTTTAAAATGTTTGCCTTCTCTAAAACTTTTTATATGTCAAGTAAAAAGAGTTAATAAGTTTAAAAGATATAAACAAAAAGCATGTTTCAAATAGTCAATTCTGAATGTCTTTTCTTTCCAACTGCTTGGGTTTTCAATCTTTTTGTGAAGCCATTATTGGAACAAAGGCTTAATTCTAAAAGTAGTTAAAATACTAATTAAAAAATAAAGGCTTTTAAACCATAATTTCTAAAAATGCATCCATAAAATAAGCTTCCAAAATTTTCTTGTCAAACGTGATTCTTGGTTTAAGACGGAATTTCCTCGGAAGTCACATATGTATAATGAAGAACCTTTTTTAAAAAATGCATAATTCTATTTTGAAGACTGTAATTTGCATCTAGTAACAAGTAATTTTCTGCATATCATTTTCCCAAAATAAAGTCTCACAGTGGCTCTGAAAGAGATGCTGCCTGCATATATTGTTCAAATGTTCCTCCTCAAGGCCAGTCAGGAGTACTGCACCCTTTCATTTGTAGTGTTTACCAGTAAAATTTCCGTGTTCAGCACACTAGGAAATTACTGCCACACTAACAGACTCTTGAAGAATGTCACAATTTCTGTTTTCAAATTTTTCAGGAGTTCCAAAAATTCTTGTGCTGTCTATATTAAAAATATTGCTCAGCACACACCCAACATTTTCCATTGCCAGAACTCAAAACTTTCCAGCAAAGGCAATCAAGTATTGCTACCTCCATTTTGCATACGAACAGTAACAATGATGACATTGAGATCCCACTTCACCAAACTTTAAGTAAGGACTATTAATTTACTCAAGACACAGATAGACCTTCAGTACTTGTTAAGTCAAATCTGAAGACTAAATAATTTGCAGATGACAGATGGAGCCATTAGCAGATTTGGGAACACAATTCAGAGCTCCTGACTCCCTACAATAAACCGTAGTTACCCAAATGACAAAGGTTTTGCTGCTCTTGGTGTAGTGCCCTTCTTTGCATTTCAGAGGAATTACAGGGCTCTTAAATGGGCTGTCAAATTTGCTGACTTGGTAACTGGCTGGCTGTCAAAATATATATTAAAAGTCTTGCCTTTCCTGGCTATTTCTTCAATAAATCTTTTTTTTTTTTTCTTTAATAGAATAAGCTTTGTGATCTTACTTATAAAACTAAGGTCAACAGAAAAAAAATTAAAAATCTTATCAGTCACATCGTACATACTATTAAAGAAAATAGATGGAAAGGCAGCAGGACCCAACAGAAAGGACACCGAACTAAGAAACAGATGGCAAAATCTCCCTCTGACTTCAACAAAGTCAAGCTTTCAGCTTTTCAGCTCATTTTACTTCTAGCTCTTACAGAACTCTGTAATCTCAATTCCTCTCTTAATGGGTTTCAAAACGCTTAGATTATTATTCTTTTATTTCCTTCTCTCCATAAGGACTTTTAACACCAATAAGTTAAATTAATTACAGCTAGATTCAAAGGTCCTACACACATGCTGAAGACTATACATATTCACAGGTTTGAAGTTCTATTTAATTCTACTTTAAACGTTGCACATTGAATCACACGTCTTGATCCACCTCCTGGAAAAGAATTAAGTTCCAGACAGACTCCAAGTTACAGCAGGAATTACAAGCTAAATAGCCTTCAAGTTAAATATACCTCCTAGACTGAAGTTGTAACTCATACTAGAAAGGCTGGATCACTTTTTATAACTAGCTGCTTATAAAGCTTATTTTTATCTAGGTCTTTATGTTTTTATTTCACTATATTACAAGGCTTTCACCTACATCGTTGGTGATGTGTCCTCTTTCATTTAAGATCACACAAGGTATGCAATCATGGCAACAGTAACTATGCTGTGAGTTTTCTTTTGTCATGTTTAATAGACTGGTCACTTAGGCACCTACAAAAGCAGCTTGGCCAGAGGACCGGAGGAACTCAATAAACAAACATCTTCTATTCAAACATCAGATTCGCAAGTGTATTTTTTTCTCCCTAATTATGCGTAAAAAATCTGGAAGAAGTCTTCCACGTGGAATAGCTTTACATATCACAGATTTTTGTTTTGTTATTAAACTTCACTTGTTGCTAAGGAAGAACAGAGAAGATCAAAGCACTTCTAACAACTAGGAAAACAAAGGTGAGGGAGTTTTGATTTCTTTCTCATTCTTTAAAGATTTATCACTGAATTACAACAGCTGTTGGTTCATAGTTCTACGAAAAGAACGTGTGAAATGATGTGAGCCTGCTTTGCTATTTCCTATTTAACTTCAAACATCAAACAATAGCTCAATTCACTTTCCGATTAGCAACATGATCACGCATTCAACTAGCCTGCTTACAAATCCATACACAACTGAATTCCTAAGGACTGAAAAAGAAGAGCTAGTAGAAGGCATAAACGACCCAGACCGTCTTCTGAACTGGCTGGTAGACAACGGTATTTTTACCCCAGAAAAAGAGATGGTCATGAGTTTCTACAGGACACAAACAGAAAAGAACTCTCGAGTTCTAGAAATACTAATTTCTCAAGGTGAACGAGCCTGCAGGCCCTTTTTTTATCCATGTTTAAAGCAAGTGGAGCCAAAACTTTATCGCAAGATAAGAAAATACGTCAGTGAAGTAAATGAAAGCATTGGAGATGCTAGAAGACAATTGGTAGGATATTTACTTGAAAAAGGCAAGGTTTGGTTTGAAAATAGCAGTGAACGGCACCAGGAAAAAAAAAAGTCCTAGAAGAAAAAAGCAAGAATGCGTTGTTAAGAAGGAAAAAAGAGAAACTCAACTTTCAAGGGCAGCAAAACCTAGAAAAGATGGGGCTGGTGTCGGCATCTTTGACGCAGACACTGAAGACTTACTTTCTGAGTTAGAGAAAACATTGAAAGACGATGACAGGAATGCACTAAACTCTTCAGGTGAAACACTTCTGCGTGTTGCAGCTGCTAACGGACATCTAATGACAATGGAATATTGGATCAGCAAAGGTGCAAAGACAGCTGTGAAGGACAAAAAAGGAAGAACACCACCGCATAGGGCTGCTGAAAAAGGCCATGGTGATGTATATATGTACAGTTTGGATACGGAAGGCAAGACACCACTCCACTGGGCTGCACAGAACCACCACAGTCACATGTTGAAGATGCTCCTGGAAGAAGAAGCAAGAAGCTACAGGAACCAGCACAACTTTTTGCACATGGCAGCTCTTAAAGATGAGAGCAGTCTGGCAAAAATGCTTTTAAAGGCTGGTGCCTCCATTGATGGAAAGGATCAAAGAGGACAGACTGTTCTCAGTTACGCTGTTTCTCAGGGGTCTGAAAATACTGCAAAAGTACTGTTAGAAGCCGGAGCCAGGGTTGATTCCTACATGGCCGAAACAGCCTTCAACAGCAACCACCCTTCCATCTTCAACATCTTCCTAGAATATTCTAAAGATTTGTCTTCTGACATAATGGAGTCAGCTCTTTTTGGAGCTGTACAGAAAAACCTGCCCGGTATCGCAGCAGCTTTAACTGACAGAGGTACATATCCAAATGCCAACAATGAAATGCAGTACACTCCTCTACTCCTGGCGTGTGAAACAGGCAAAGCTGAATCAGCAGGAGTTCTAATCGGAAAGGGAGCCAACTTGGGAATAAAGACTCCTGCTTCAGACACAGCTTTGCATGGGGCAATTCAAGCTGGGGCTGCTTCTGCGGCAAATCTGTGCAGAGGGATGGAACTTAACCTCAGGAACCAAGCTGATGAAACCCCACTCCATGTTGCTGCACTTCATAATAAAGGGGCATTAATTGGCCTTTTGGTCCCTTTGCTGGAGCCAAAATTAACGCTGTCACTAGAAAGTTTGTAACTCCCTGGCACATTGCACGTCAAAGAGGTAACACTGGTGTTGCCCCACAGCTGTTGCATCACAAAGCCAATGCCAAGGACAAGCAGCCAAAATCACCTTTACATTTTGCTGCTGAAAGGGGAGACAAAAAAATGGCAGAGATGCTTCTGAACGCTAAGGCTGACCCCAACACACAAGACAACGAGAAGAAGACTCCCCTGCACACTGCAGCTATAGGACGACATCTCAGCATCCTGGAAGTTCTGTTAGCTAGAAAAGGAAGATTTGGAGCTAAGGACATGGACGGATGTACTCCGATGCACTATGCAGCCATGAAAGGAAACACAGAGATCATAAAAATTCTTCTGACACCAGGGAAAAATCAAAATATTGATGAGAGAAACGTTTGGAGAAAGACCGCACTGCATATTGCAGTGGAATACGGACACGGCGACTTGATAAATCCATTGCTGAGGCACGGTGCAGCCATTAATGCCTTAGAGAGCCACAAAGACACTCCATGGCATCGGGCGTGCAAGGCTGCTCATTTTAATGCTGCAAATTCCCTTGGAAACTGGGCACAAGGAGAAAAGGCAAATTTACCAGCCGCTAATAGTCTCGAAAAGATCCCACTGGAAGTTGCGGAATTTAATAAAACAGAAAATCAGGTGCAAATTGTAACACTTTTGAAAAAGAAAATGGTAATAACAAAATGAAGATGTAAAGTGAAAACATCTAAATTTAAATGCAGAATTCTCTTTTAATGTAATCTGGATAGTGCTGTTGCCCAGTATGATTGAGAATTACGTTAGGGCAGGCAGAGTTAAGTTCGCAATCAAAGGTGATCACGGAAAAAAATGGATCTTAAAGACACTGTTAAACTTCTAAGTATTGATTAGTCTTTTGCTTCTGTCATGAATCTCAAATTTGGAACCTATTTAAAAAGCACCAATCTTGAACACATTGTGTATGATCCCCTCTAGTATAAATTGCTCCGGCAGGGGGATTGGACTAGATGATCCTTTGAGGTCCCATCCAATCCCTAACATTGTGATCTGTGATTTGTGAAATTAAGACTTGAAAAAAAACCCACAGAAAATAGCTTTTCATGTATCTGTGAATATTAGCCTGTATGGGTAGCTTAGTTAAGCTCTGTTTGGTAAAATCACATTTTTGAAAAGCCATCTCTTATGAAAAAGGAGATATCTGTATCCTCAAGGATCTAGAGCATCGAGATGTTGGAGTAGACTTAGGCAGACGTAACTGCAGAGTGCTGCCAGAAGAGACTGACCTGCCCTCTCTTTCAGTCCAGCCACGCGTGCCTGCTCAAGGCTATGTGTGAGCTGATCCCAGTTATTCCACAGCTGTAACTGAGCAAAGAGGAGAGGCAGGGTAGCAAGCAGCTGAACAGCTCTGTCTCTCCCGAGGGTGATGTAGCATTAGCTTGGCTTATGCTGATCGCAGTATTGCTCTCTGAGCTAAGTGGAGACCAGAAGACATCTCCCTGCAAATTTACCAGTGTGGGGTTGCTCTACTCTGGATTTACTAGATCCACTGTCTATGCTAATAAATCCTATCAAGAGGCTGGGTACAAACCAGCCAGAGTAGTGCGTGCTCAAAACTTCGCAAACACAATTATGTTATTTTCAGGACACTATTACGTGCTACACTGACACTCAATATCGGGCTGGAACTCCTTTAGACACCTCTATATTACACTCCATGATACGGCACTGACGTCTCCTAGGACTGTCACAATTATTTTTCTTTCTATCTTTTGCATTTTTAAGTAGCAATAATGAAAACAATCGTATTTGCTGTTTAGCAAATCAATCCCAGCACAAAGATGAAGTGTTCAGAATAAAAAGGTTGCAACAGAGTTTATTGGTTCAAAATATTTGTATTGTCATCTCTTAAAACAGAAACATTTTCTTGAGTCAACAGAAGGTTCTCTGTGGTAATTTTCTACTGAATGATAATCAACCCTCACAGCTCTTCCCGCTTCCCTTCAGCATAGGATTAGAAGCCCAATTACCACGAAGGGCCAAATACTTCCTTTGAAACAATACACAGATTTAAGAATGCACGGGAACAAAACTGTGATTTTTATAGCCATATTACAACACTTTTACTTGCCCCGCACAACACCCTGCTGCTGTCATCTTCTAGATGAAAAAACATGACAGCATGCTTGGAAGTACACAGACAGAGGCTAGCAAAACCAACATCTGCAGCACAATGCACCAAAACAAGGAGCTCCTGCACAAACTCCATCACAAAAAGGAAGCCTACAGAAGGTGGAAGTGAGGACAGGTAGCATGGGAGGAATACAGAGAAATTGTTCGAGCAGCCAGGGATCATGTTAGGAAAGCTAAAGCACTGACAGAATTAAATCTGACTGGGGACACCAAGGGCAACAAGAAAAACTTCTATAGGTGTCAGCGATAAAAGGAGGACTAAAGAAAATGTGGGCCCTCTCCGGAAGGAAACAGGGGACCTGGCTACCCGGGATATGGAGAAGGCTGAGGTTCTCAGTGACTTTTTTGCCTCAGTCTTCACAGGCAAGTGCTCTAGCCACACTGCCCAAGTCACAGAAGGCAAAGGCAAGGACTGGGAGAATGAAGAACCGCCCACTGTAGGAGAAGATCAGGTTCAAGACCATCTAAGAAACCTGAAGGTGCACAAGTCCATGGGACCTGATAAGGTGCATCCGCGGGTCCTGAGAGAACCGGTAGATGAAGTTGCTGAGCCACTATCCATCATATTTGAGAAGTCGTGGCAATGCGGTGAAGTTCCCACTGACTGGAAAACGGGAAACATAGCCTACATTTTCAAAAAGGGAAAAAAGGAAGACCCAGGGAACTACAGGCCAGTCAGTCTCACCTCTGTGCCCAGCAAGATCATGGAGCAGATCCTTCTGGAGACTATGCTAAGGCATATGGAAAAAAAATGAGGCCATTTGTGACAGTCAACATGGCTTCACTAAGGGCAAATTGTGCCTGACACATCTGGTGGCTTTCTATGACAGGGTTACAGTGTTGGTGGATAAGGAAGGAGCAACTGACACCATCTACCTGGACTTGTGAAAAGCATTTGACACTGTCCCACACAACATCCTTGTCTCTAAATTGGAGAGACATGGATTTGATGGATGGTCCACTCAGTGGAAGAGGAATCGGACCACTATGAGGGTGGTGTGCCACTGAAAGAGAGGCTGCCCAGAGGAGGTGTGGCTGCCCCATCCCTGGAAATGCCCAAGGCCAGGTTGGATGAGGCTTTGAGCAGCCTGGTCTAGTGAAAGGGGGGTTGGCACTACATGATCTTTAAAGTCCCTTCCGACTTGAACCATTGCATGATTCTACAAACCAGCATCCCTCTTCTGTCAGCCCACCACATTCCAACCGGCC